GGTCATTCAGGGTGACCAATACAAGTACTAAAGTTCATTGTTATTATTGGCAGTGCCACCAGGTATCAGGGATTGGCATGGATATGGAGCACAATTATAATCTCCGCTCTCACTATGACCCAGCACAATATTCACACACTCCATGGGGGGGAAGGGGGGGGTCACATTTGCATTATTAGTCAATTAATTATGAAATGAAGAACTGCGCTCAGCACCAGATAAGCAGCTTTTACACCAAATTCCCTACATTGTATCTGCTCAGCACCGAGTTCTTGTCACATAAATCCACAGTATCTATAATCCTCAATAGGGATCTCTGGGTTGAAGGGTAAGGAGACCTTTGGGCCCATGTTTCATGTTACACTCATATTTGGGTTGTATATTCCATTGGAACCTGCGGCTGTCAATCAACGCGTTTCGGGGCGGTATGACTCCCCTTTGTCAGGGTAATCCTGAAGATGTGGAGCGTTACCTCCCCAAAACACATGACCATCCCCCAGCACTGTCAGCGATATCTCCTGGTCACACAGTGCTGTGTCCCCAGGTGATGGGTTCCCTATCACATGACCATTATGATAGCCAATCACAGTGATCATAACCGGGAAGCCGAAAAAACACCCCTGGCATTTAGGTCTCTTGAAGGTCCGGCTGGAGGCCGGCGGAAAAGGGGTTAAACCGAAGACTTTACACTATTCCTACTACACTTACACTATTATTAAAGCAGTCAATGTGACTTTCACCAAACATTCTCTGGCAGAGAATCCCACTGTCATTTAAAACACATGGGCCCGAAAGATTCTCCTGCGGAGAATGTTTGCTGAATGTCAGATTCGCTGCTTTACAAATACAGCCTCCTCGGTGGTTTTATTTCCCATTGTGAGCAGGATTGATACAAAGTGATGAGAAGCCGAGGAGATCCGTTATTATAAAGTGTATATAGATCATCGTACGATTCCACCACGGGAATACACGAGCGCTTTCACCGTTCCCCGATAGAGAGTTTCAGGGTGAGCCCCGGAATCTGAATAATAAAACTGGAAGATCCTTTTTATAAGGAGGATTGATCACCGAGGTTATTAGATTTGTATTGATCGATATCACTTTGTATCTGTAACATTGTATTATGTTCATCACACGGGGGTTTCTCTACACGTTTGTTGTATATGTGAGTGCTGCATAGTTATTATTATTATATCATTATGTTTGGATGTGTGCAGGGGCGTAACTAGAAATCACAGGGCCCCATAGCAACATTTTGTATGGGGCCCCTGTGATTTCTAGTTACGCCCACCTGGTAACCCAAACAGCCCACCTGAGGGTGACCCTGCAGAGCCCACCATAGACTCTCTATGGTGGGCTCTGCAGGGACTCAGACGGGCGGTCAAGCCCTCTTACCTGTCTGCTCCGATCCTCTGTCCGACTCCTTCTCCTCCATGATCGACTCCTCCGTCACTGGGCCCCGCCTCCTCGATCGCCGGGCCCCTCCCCTTCGATCGCCGGGACCCGCCTCCTCGATCACTGCCGATGACGGGCCCAGCCACCTCCTGCGAAGCTGCTGGTTGTCACCAACTCAGCAGCGGCTGTGAAAAGGAACGGAGCGTTCCTCCTCACAGCCGCCAGTGACAGCCGGCAGCCTGGCTGTCCGAGCAAGATGCCATAGCAACCCACATGGCATCAGGGAGATGTCCTGGCCGGGCCCCGCCGTGCCTCGGGCACCATAGCCGCCGCCTGGGTCGCTATGGTGATTGTTACGGCACTGGATGTGTGTTATTTGAGGAAGGGGGACTCCTCTTACCTTAGTGACAGGTCGGTAAATTTGGGAATTTTACCTTCAGTTTAAAAACAACAGATTACTGGAGAGAGAACAATGAAACCTGAAGAGTCGGAGCCTCCAGATTGTGAATGTGTCATTGTCGGGGGCCGTGGAAACGATTCTCAGAAGTCAGGGAAGATTTCCCGTCTATGATATTTATCACATTATGTATGAGGAGTATGAGATGTGAGAAGTGACACTAAACTCCGGAGTTCAATCCCTCCGAGTCCCTGAACTCTGAGCAACAATGTATCTGATTTGTGTATCACTCGGCTGGAGATCCTCCAATCATCTCTGACACTGTCCTTCCTTCTGGAGGGGGGCTACGTCTGTTCCCCATGGTCCCTGTGTGTGTTGTAAAGTAGTCACCGCTCCAAGCTTGCTCCCGGGTTGGACTACAATCCCAATATGAATCGGTAAACTAAACCTGAGCTTGTAGTCCATCGGGGGGTTTGGGTTCTTGGAGCGGTGACTACTTTACAACACACACAGGGACCATGGGGAACAGACGTAGCCCCCCTCCAGAAGGAAGGACAGTGTCAGAGATGATTGGAGGATCTACAGCCGAGTGATACACAAATAAGATACATTGTTGTTAAAAATATAAAAAAATAAAAACTTATTTTACTCCCTGAACTGCAACTCCATTTATAACATTTGTATCATTTGTGTTTTCTGGATTTCTGGTGGATATTCCGTCTCTATCATGTAAAATACACCGATGATATCAATGATAGACCTTTCTTTTCTGTGTCATCTGCAGGGATCCCGTCATTATTTTCATCACTGTAACAACTAAAGGTTGTCACGATCGTCTGCATCGCTCTCGGTCACATGACTTATATCATAAAATGGGGTTATTCACCTACATTGACCCTTCGTTATCTTATCGCAGAGCCGGGAAATAAATCAGATAAAACAGTTTCCATAACAACAACATTTATTTCTTGTATTTCAAAGTATAAAGAGCCTGGAATGTTCCTCCGCCAGTAACGGGACTTCGCCCTGGTCCCGGCGGACGGATGGCGGGAACTGTGGGCGGAGTTGATGCGGACTCTGGAGCGCTCTCTCTCTCTCTCTGGCGCTATTCCTCCGCAGATTCTCAGCGCGGTTATAGGGGCTGTCAGGGTCAGAGGTCAGAGTTGGATGGATGAAATAATATTCTGCTCCCCGATGAAGGTTCAGTGATGAGACCTCCGAGTTCCCAGCTCCTCCCCCTGACCGAGGACAATGCGTCCTGCTCTACCTGCTAGGAGAAGACAGCAACAGGAGAGAGAGACTTTGTGGTGGGGGCGGAGCTGGGAACACCGTTACCGAGTCCCCAAGAGATAGAAGAAATCCTAGTGTGTATATGAACCGGCCAGTCTCCACCCACAAATGAAATATCAGACTGCAGTGACATTGGACGTCAGTCACCCGGCTGCTGCTAAATGCTTTGGAATGGAGATTTGTGAATGTACGGCCTGACCCCGAGGGATCTACAGCTCGCTGCGCTCTGCCGCCGCCGCCTCCGCCATCTTCTGGAGTTTCTCAGGGAGAATTTTGGTCCAGAATTCATATTTTGCGCCTTTCAGTTTCTGAGCGGATTTCTGCTGAATATCAATCTGCAGATAATCCTCATCCCCGTCGTAGCGCGGCCACTGAGGCAGCCCGGGCCCGTTCGGGTCACTAAGAGATACAGAGGAACAAATGGGCAAAAAGCAAAGTCATACCCGAGGAGCTTACACTCTAATGTCCCCTCCCCC